CGTGGCATGATAGGTCAAAGCAAGTCCAGAGAAGGGCCACGAGGGTGATCAGGGGACTGGAGCACCTCCTGTATGAAGACAGACTGAGAAAGTTGGGGCTGTTCAGCCTGGAGAAGAGAAGGCTGCGTGGAGACCTCAGAGCAGCCTTCCAGTATCTGAAGGGGGCCTATAGGGATGCTGGGGAGGGACTCTTCATTAGGGACTGTAGTGATAGGACAAGGGGTAACGGGTTAAAACTTAGGGGAAGTTTAGATTGGATATAAGGAGGAAATTCTTTCCTGTTAGATTGGTGAGGCACTGGAATGTGTTGCCCAGGGAAGTTGTGAATGCTCCATCCCTGGCAGTGTTCAAGACCAGGTTGAACGAGGCCTTGGGTGCCATGGTTTAGTGTGAGGTGTCCCTGCCCATGACAGGGGGGTTGGAACTGCATGATCTTAAGGTCCTTTCCAACCCTAACTATTCTATGATTCTATGTACTGTGCCTCGACTTCTCCCACAGCAAGGCTTCAAGTAAGATCCAGCACCAGAGAGAGAAGTGCAAGTGAGTTGTCCTTATGTTTCCCCTGATGAGTGTTCATCTTACTTTCTGCTAAGGAGAGCAGGATCAGGCCACACACAAAAGAAACACTAAAAATCCTTCCCATTTCATCTTTTTGAAGGATATTTGGGTTTGCTTTCCTTTTCTATACAGTAATGATCAAATGGAAGTTTCTTTCTAAAAATTCCCTTCAAAAGGAATTAAAAACAGGGAATAATTACTGTGAGAATTTTACATGCCCCTTTGATTCAAGTATATTTGCTTTTAAAATGTTTTGTTAAGGATGCTGTAAAGAAGGAAAAGATTTTAATGGGTGAGTGAGTAGAATGAAGTGGGCAGAGCTCATCACTCTTGAGCTCTCTTTATTAAGCCATGACATTGACACCTTCTCAGCACATCAAAATTAGAAGGACAGTTTTAAGCTGGAGAGATTTTGCAATGTGGGGGAAAGATACGAGTTCTTTATTCACCCTAAACACAGAGAAGATGCACGCAGAAAGCAGTGACTAAATGAGGCTGCTGAGACAAGTATCAAAGAAGAGCATGAGAGAAAATTTTAAAGAGTGAAGGTGCAGAACAGGGTTTTACAAGAGAAGAACAGGAGAAGCAAGAAGCAAATCTGAATATGCATTGAGAGACAAAGAGACCAGCAAACTACTGATTCACTAGCAACTGAAGGAAAATCATCAGCACAGAAAGCCAAGGAAGCCAAAGTTCTCTGTGTCTTGCATTGCATTTCCCAGAGGAGAGATAAAGTGCAAAGACTGGCTAGTGCAAGCTGCAGCCGCAGAGCAGTAGGATCTCTCCATGGAAATGCTCAAGGAGGCATCAGCACACTTAGAACATGGAAGTTTTCACACTACCTGAGCCTGATGGATTTTATCCCAGGATACTTCAAAAGAATATGACAGAATTAACATCAGAATGGGGTTATCTTAGGGAAGTCATGAAGTGTAAATAAGCATCTGAAGGCTGGAAAAGGGCAAATACATTCAGTTTCTAAGAACGGAAGGCAAAGACTAATCGGGGATTTGTCTATCAGTCAGCTTATCTTCGAATGACAGAAAAACCTTGGAAAGCACAAAATCTTTGTGAGCACATGAAAGAAAACAAAGAAATGAGACAGAGTCAAAATGGATTTGTCAACTACAAATCCTCTCAGAGCAAACTCATCTCATTTTCTAAATGGGCTGCAGGTGTGGGTAGAAAGGAAGCCATAAACACCATCTAAAATCACAGAACGGGCTTTGTAGCTTCTCTGAAGACCTTCTCATTCAAAAGGTAGGAAAGTGAAACTGATACGGCACAGGACGAACAGGCCAAATAAACATGGCAAACTAATGAAAATGTAGCAGTTATCAGTGGCTCATGGTCAAGATAAAATAATGTAATTAATGTGCTCCTCAGACCACTGTCAGGAAGTTGGCTGTATTCAAAATGTTTTATTAATAGTTCTCTCAATAGAGAGTTATACTGCTAAAGGTCTAGAAAACAAAGGTAGGAGGACATACAAGTACAGTAAGGACAGGACTAGAAACAAGTCAGCAAGGTAAGTTGGAGCAATAGTATGAAAACACTGCATGAAACCTTATATTACAGGACCAAGCAGAAGGATGCACGTTTGCCAAGAGTGATTAACAGCACAAATAAGAGGCGGAATACAAATAGAAACTCCATTGATCCAAGATTATAGAAAATCATGGGCATAACATGAGCCAATGTTTTCCTGCGGTGTTGCAAAAATGAAGGTAATCACCGCTGCAACCCACGATACTGTTTTCTGAACAAAACTCATGATGTATGCTTATAATGAAGTGACATTCATACAGCACAACACTCAAACATGCATTTGAGCCAGCATACAATGATCCATTTCCTATCATCATGTACTCTCACAGAGCAATTAAATAAAATTGCTGATGTTTCATGAGAACAAACCTTGCTGGAAGGGACTGCAATAAAGGAAGGGCCTGCCTTTGCTAATGGTACTAACTCATTTCCCAGAAGCTGAAAGTGCTAAATGACCATCTGTAAATCTGCCTGACACATTTTAACAATCCCTTTCCTACAACTGGCCACTATTGAACCTTCCCTCTGGTGCTGCACATAAAGCCGGTGCGACATCAATTGATTCAGCACTTCCATAAAGCTTTTAGTGCAGGCACAAGAAAGCACAATATTCCTGCTATAGCTTGTGAGAGGCAGCCTTCACTAGCCAACATTTCTGACTTTTAACTTAATTTTCCCTTATTCTAGCTATCTTGTTCTAGCTCCCTCTGCTAAAGGCCAAATATCAGAAAAGCATCCTTCCTGCAGGAAAGGGGAGGTCAATCTGGATACTCCACAAAATAATTGAGCTCTTGAATATATTTGTGTGCATTTCAGTCCTTGGGAGCTGCTGTTAATTAGCAAACAGACAGCTGAAATGAGCACTTTATCTTCTGCATTCATCAAATAAAAGCCACCAGCTCTTCTCCCAGGTTTGTAGGCTCCTTTTATCTCAACAGAAGCTGTGACCTTTGTAAGCAATAGATTCTAGGTTCCAGGCTACACATATAAACCCTTATTTATATGACATGATAAATCAAAGGCAAAAATAGCCTACAGGATTCCTTGCTACATTGCACGCTGTGAACAATCATTTACTTTCCAGGGGACCATTAATTAGTATTGATTTGTCTTCTTGCTCCAACAGTTCAGTGGCATACGGATGGGAGGCTGCCTGCCAGGTTGTGCAGCATCAGAGCCTGTTATCCTGCAGCTTTTTGTACAAGTTGAAGAGATTTGCATGCAGAAGACAAACTACGTAATCTGAAGTTAAGGTGATCTTCAAATAGTCTGTTTTAAGTGGCTAGTGGAAGAGGAAATAGATGAGAAAATATCACTGGGAACAAGAGACCCATTTGGAACAAAAAAAGGGGGGTAATTAAACCATGAGGGTGAAATCTGAAGTCAGTGAAAAGGCTTATGCCCCAGCCCAGTATTTCCAAGTAAGACATTCCAATGATTTTGTACAGTGCACAGGTGCAAGGTTACTATCTAGAAGTCAACACTGATGCAGTCTGGGTCCGTGGGGATGGTCTGTAAATAAAGACCATCACGAAGTCTGGATGCACAGTGAATGTGCTGTCACAACTCTGCCCACTCCCAAGGATAAGGAAACAAGGTCAAGACACAAAAGTCTTTTATTTTTGTAAATGTATATAGTCTCAACAACCCTGAGACCATCATTTCTTCCTCTTCCTGGAGTTCTTCTCAAGTGCCATGTTAGGATACCATGAAAGACAAGTATCTGTCTGGGATAACTGGTCTTATATGTGTGATCATGCTGGGAGAAGAGATGGCACGTATGGTGGTAGCAGGCACCTCAGCAACAGAGGCTCTGCCCTTGCTGACTGGCAATGAGGAGGTGAAGCAACTCACTAGTTTGGAGCAAAAAGGTACCCCTCAGAATGCAGCTCAGACCAGGCCAGCAGGCTCCAGCACAACAGGGTACTTGATGTTTGGTTGAGCCAGCTGGATTTTCAGTTCCCCTAATAGTGAAAATAGCCAGACTCCAAAGCCCTCTGGCAGTACACAAACCCCTGTGTGGATGCCCAGTCAATGCACAGCAGAATGCAGAGACTGTGGGAACAGGGAACTGGTGCCCACTGCTCACTGGGATTTTGCTGCTCACCGGCTATCCCCTAGTGTTGTTTGCCACCAAGAGAACATTGGTCTTACATTCACCAGTTGAAAAGGAAGCTAACACCTAGTGCTGGCGTTAACTTGAGCTCTTGCTTATTGCTGGCACAGACCCTAGAGCAAAAGTGAGTTTTAAGTAGGAATGAGTTTAGCTTTATACTAATTGCACTGATCCATCCTTCCTCCAGGCAGCCCCAGGATCAGCAGGATCAGCAGGCACCAAAAAGATGGGTTATCAGTATCTCCTGTTGAGACAGCTATTAATATTAGAAGATAAAGTTTCTCAGACAGAATATAGTAACATGGGACCAGCATTTTAGTCCTCCAGGTGAAATGGCAAGATTAAGAACCTTATTTCCTTCATGCCCCCCCAGATCTTTATAATAAATTTTCATTCATTCTCTTCAGTATTTATTTCCTTAACAGATTAGGAGGGTTTGTTGGTTTTTTTTTTCTGTTTTAATAGTCTATTCAATTAGTATCAGTTTAATCACTCTCATGCATATGTGGGTTCTACCTGACTTCATGTGATAGCATCTACTAATAACAGAACCTTGTGAAACTTGTTGCTTAGTGAGCTACCTGTGCAACACTCCCACCCAAGTCAGCCTGCAGCAATACTGCCAGTGTTTTACATGGGGTCTCTGGGTGCCCTATTTAAAGGCTGTCCCTGCTGGGCAGGTGCTGGAGGGCCAGCTGGTGGTAGTGGGAGGGCACCGCCTTCATCAAGAGGATGAGTCCTCTTAGGAGACAGGATGTAAGGTGTGCTGGGGTGTAAGGAGAACAGGATTTGTTTCTTTGATGTAAAAAGGATTAGGGTGAAAACAGCTGACTAGTAGGTTCCAGGGAAACAAAGAATAACTTATGAAGATACTTTGGTGAGTAAGGATCTAGCTATTTTATTAAATGTATTAATGCTGAATATTGAAAGGAAGCTAACATTAGTTTCCCGTGAAAAGATGGTACTTGATATACTGATTAACTCTGATTTAGAGTTTTGTTTCAGCTCTGGATTAAGATAGTAATTAGATATGCTCTGCTTCATGGTTTGTGTCTCATGGACTCCAAACTTGTATCTGCCATAGCTGTTAGGAGGAAAGATCTTGGACTCCTCCATTTATTAGGAACTGAACAATGTGCATGCATTTGGGTATTCTTGCACCCTGAGGGCTTCTGATTTTCTGTAGAAAAATATAAAATAAACTAAAAAAAGCAACCCAGGAAGATGATAGAGCAGGACACTAACAGGTTGGAAGATCACTTATATTCTGTTTTCTTTCTATTAATATAGAGCAGGAGAAAGGAAAGGTAGAGATCCCTTGTAAAATTCCCATTCTGCTGGTCTAAATCAGGACTATTGCTGGTATGGATGGAGGTGGGACTAAGCTTGTCAGGTACCAGGGAACAGTCCAAAGTGTGACTGTAGCTGGTGGTGCTCCATGTAATCATTGAAGTGTAACTTGTATTACTCCTCTTCTGTTCAGAAAGCTTGTCCAAATGTACTTCAGGTGAAGAAAGACAGATTTAAAACCAGGCACATTACAGTGCGTAAGTGCTCTGAGTCAGAGTCATTATAGGTCCCTTTTAGACTTCTCTCTGCCTTTCAGATGTGACACAGCTTTCGATGACAGCTTATCAACACTGCTGCTTATTCTGAACTAAATGAAACTATTGTTCTCTCTTTGATTCTCAAATGGTTAATTAGCACTTTATATATATAAAATATGATTATATGATTCATTGCTTTCTATCCTCTCGTAATACTTGAATGTCAAATTAAAATCACGTGGAGAGACAACTCAGCTCATTTTGGAACTGTTATCTACAGCAGAAAATCATAGTACCTTGGTTAAATCTCTTGACTCCATCTAAGAAGAGACAATAGGGACACAGTTGTCACTGCTCAAAACGGTGACTCAAAGAGCTTAGACTTTCTGCAATAAAAAGTGAGATCAAACTGCAGATCCATGTGTCAAATATCTCCATTTTAGAGCAATCTGTAGAGCTTGCTGGTTTTGCAACTACTTTTAAATAGGTGAATTGCAAAACTTAATGTAGCTCTGTGTTACCTCTATCCATCTCCTCAAGTCTCAGTATTTGAATATGAATAGCTTCAGATTTAGAAAGCTGTTCTGACACTCTCCATTTAGTTTTTATTCACTTCCACCAACCATTTTAAGACTATTTTTGTATCAGTCTGGCCTTCGCCAAGCCACCTTCCACCCTGTTTTCAAATACCTCATGTTAGACCTGGAAATAAGAGTGCTTGGTTAATTATCACTATTTTCAGCATAGCTAGCACTGTAAATTAGGCTGTTTGTCGAACACCGCATTGCAGATTCAGCTTGTCCAGCTAATTCCTTTTAGCACTAAAAATCCTGTGCATTTTCCTCTTGCCCTCAAATCTGTGATTTTTCTGATCACTCATAATAGTTTAGAAACCCATAATAGTTTAGAAAGCTAGCAAATATTTCACTTGCATACACCTTCTTCAGTGCTGTGCAAACACTACAACAATTTCTACCCATCCTAAAAATGATCACCAGGAATAAAGGCATTTTAAGAACCACTTTTTTATTGTTAACGCATTCCTTTAAAACGTTTTGGGGGTTTTTTTTTGCTCCATCAAAAGATTCACATGTATAGAAGAGAGACATAGCCTAGGGCTGCTAGTTACTTTGCCACTTCACCACTTCACCAGGTTTGCTGATGACCCCAGGCTGTGTGGTTCCGTTGATACACTGGGGAGAAGGAATGCCATCCAGAGGGACCTAGAGAGGTGGGACAATGCAAGCCTCATGAAGATCAACAAGGCCAAGTGCAAGGTCCTATCCCTGGGTCAGGGCAATCCCAAGCACAAATACAGGCTGGGAGGAGACTGTATTGAGAGCAGTCCTGAGGAGAAGGACTTGGAGTGTTGGTTGATGAGAAGCTCAACGTGACCTGGCACCTATTCTTAAAATACTTGAGGGGAGGAAGCAAATCTCCTCAGTAAATGATTGAAAGACAACTTCTCAATGCACAGTTGCCTTTAGCCAATAGTTTAATGACTTCAGGGCCAATAAAAGCAGTCTGGCTTTTATTCCCCACCCCTGAAGTTTGGCCTGTGTTTTATGCCCTCGCCCTCTCCCTAGTCAGCAGCTTTTGCAGGTGGGTAGTGCTGTTTTAAACTGTTTCATGGGGAAACGTATTTCCTCATTTAGCATTAAAAGGAGAATGTTATGAACTATGAAAGCATGCAGATCTTGTCAGACCCTCTATACAACTTTTGGGGGCGAGAAGTGTTTGGAACAGTGCTTTTGGCAATGCATTAAAAATAAAGAAATCCATCTTTTTGTCACTACAGTAAAACATAGGCCTCCAGCTGCTTCCCTGCACTTTCTTGGTGATGTTGTCTGAACTCCCTGCATTTTGTCTGCCCTCAGTCCAAGCAAAAGTACTATCAAAACAATTTACAATTAGCTGTGACAACTGTATATTGCATGGGTGGTACAAAGGCTTTTACAAATAAACCTTGATTTATACAACAGACAAGAATACGTGTTTTAATGAAGAAGTGAGTCACAATGATAATATTATTGACTTGTTAAGATTAAACAGGACTGCCATATGCTATGTCTGGTGCTTCAGATGGTTTCAAATTTATTTTTAACATTTTTAAGTTCTACATGTTAACAAAAGATGTTGAATTTTTAAAAGGATCCAATAATTGAGGGAGAAATCATTCCAAAGCTGGGTGTTGAAGCTTTGGTTGTCTTAATGATTCAACATACTTTGTACACAGTGACTCAGAAAGCGATTTCTAATCAGTGATGTAGCTCCTACCTAACTCTTGTACATGTAATTTGGATTACTTTTATCTTGCTGCCCCCAGAGTTGCATCCTCAGAGCTGCTGAGGGATGGGTTGGTTGAACACGTGCCTCAGGACCCCATTCCCAACCTTTCAATTATTTTTATTAAAAAACCCTATCAAAAAGCCCTCAACTTATCTGCCTCTGGACCATACACTACTGGCCCTGCACACATGGACCTCACACTAACAGCCATATATACTCCTGGATTGCCCCTGTTCAAACTCACTGCATGAGATGGGCATCCCTCAACGAGAGATGGGAGGAAAGATGCGATAAAGCCAATACACTGAACTGGCACACTGCAAGTGAGGGACCACACTCACAAGAAGGCTTCAGTAACTCCCACGTTTGTACAGAAACACAGCCTCTGGGTTATACATTTCGCCTTTGGATGGTTATTGTTTGGTTGAAGTCCAAGTCTTCTGCTTACTTCTGGTTTTCTTTCTTGCCCTGATTCCACGAGTCCCAGACAGGTTTGTTTTACAATACAATCTATTGCTTCACCATCCCAGTCCCAAATGCAGCTGTGACTGATGGCAACCTATGTCAGTCCATCACAGCTACCATGTCATTTGGCTGTCATGTTTTCACTAGAGAATTGGCCTGTCTTGTCATAGGCGTGATGGGGTAACTGAACACAGGTCCCCATGGCTGGGAAACTGTAGACAGGGTGATATCTTGTGCTGTCAGGCCTCACAGGATCACCAGCTGCCTCCAGCTGAGCACATCACTTTGTTGGTGATGTTGCTGGGGTGATTTTGAGCTGCATAAAAATGATCCTCGGCACCACACGCATCACCAGGATCTCACAGACCACAGCACTAAAGCCCCTCCTGCTGCTGTGAACTTTATATGGCCTTTCCAACACGTTTCTGGAAACCCAGAACTGTGCTCAGCAGGAGAAGCACATCTCATTGCTACACTGGAAAGCAGCAAGCTTCTCGTTGCAGACCTGCTAGCTGCTGATGAAACATCTCCAGCGCCTAATGGAAATGTAGGAAATGTAGATGTAGGAATTAAAGCCATCATCTCCTTTTCTGTGTTCTCTGCAGAGGAAAAAAAAGCCAAACCACAAGGAAATTACAACATAATGGTGACAATTAACATAAACAAGATACAAAGAACAGAGAGACCAGTCAACTGCAAATAGATAGCAATGATCCCAAATTGATTTCCAACAGGCTGGAGACACAAAGCAGGGAGCTCCTGAGTGTGTATTTTATTATTTGTATCAATTACTAGCTTGATTAACTTAGTTTGATGAAGCAGGCTGTAGAAAAGGGAAATAAGCAACAACAGGCAAGAAAGTCAGTCCTATCAGCTTCTTGGCGAAGAGAGTAGACTTTTAGCTCCCAAAGGGACCTAACTCCCAAAGAGATATATTTGAGTTTTGTGCCTCTAAGCCATCACTTTTTGCCCTGCAGGGAGGCAGCCTGGCCATCTTGTAACCAGTTCTGAACCATTTACACCATCCCCTGTGTAATTCTGGGTGGGTCCCTAAAGGAGAGAGCACTTTGTATGTCTTTTCCTTCCTTGGGGAGCACCAAAAAAACCTGCTAGTGTTCTTCCTGATTTCAGATAGCTGCTAAGAGATCAACATCCTTGAGGCTGCTGCTTCTACTGACTACTTAATCAATGGTTCCAAAAGTCTGGGGGAGGGATGGGAGAGTAGGAAGCACAGAAACATACACAAAATTTGATTGAAATCAGCCTGGGGAAAGCCAGCTCCATCTGATTGTATCAGTACAGGGTAAGAATGTACCTAAAACCTGCTCTTGAAACAGGAATCGGAAGGAAAGGTCCCATCAATATGGCCAGGGTACCTCTGATGCATCTGCAGTGACTCTCTGGGACTTTCAGTAGAGCAAACTCTTGTTGATGTAGAGGGAAATCCGGTACAAAGAACCAGAGTTAGCGATGGTTTTGAGCCAAAATGGGGTCCCTGAGTATGGGAAGGGATATTTACTTCATGCAGTCACAAACGCCAGTGCTCCAAGTGGCAGACAGGCCAGGTTTGCTCCCACTTGCAGCAGCTTTGCACAGCAAACGGTTAGGTGCAGAGACTGTGTCAGGCACAATTGCATATTTCTGCCTGTAGAAAGAAGTTGAAGGGAGAAAAGGGTGATTTCCAGTTTAGAAAGCCTCCCTGATTTGTGTAAACTTCCTATGAGGCAGAAATGTTTGCTTAGACCCTTGAGCAACCTTTTCTCCATGGGAAGGAGGAGGAATGCAACTGTTTTCCCTGAGAAAACAGAAAAGATGTGGGCAGTGAGAGGAAAGGGCTGGAGGTAAAAGTCTTTATTCTATTTCTTCATGCAGAAGTGGCAAAGACAGCAGTTTCTTTACCAGCAGCACTTTGTTTCTATCTATCTCTGCCGTCTTCTTATCCGGTGGGCAGATTGACGGATGCATTGTACAGTTCTGTCCAATTTGTTGGGCTGGGTTTTTTCCCAGCTGCAGGTGCACCATTTTCAGCTTTTATCTGTACGCTGCATAATCTGAGACATCTAATTATAACTCACCGTTGGCACCTCAATAAGCAAGATTCGCTCAATTAAAACTGCACAGAGCATCTGCTGTTCATCTGGTAGGAAAAATACCTGCTTTTCCCAGTCTATCTATCAGCTGGGAAGCACTCGTTGAGCTCCTGTGAGTAATGGCCTTATGGCAAGATCTGCTTTTACACACCAGAGATAAACTGACATTCTTCCAAAATGATACAAATACAGCTCTCTCAGTGTTCTTCATCCCAGGGTAAGGAAAAATTATTTAAAGCAATGCACTGCACAAACAAGTTAGTCTTTAGTGCCTGCTCTGTCATTTTCAAGGTGGGGGAGAAACCAACTCTACCTGACCCCAGTTGAGGTTTGGTTATCTATTGTTTTTCTTTGGCTGCCTGATTTCAAATTTAGTGACCTTTGCTCACTACCTAATTTGGGTTTTAATTCCTGATCCAATACTGATTTACTTTCTGTATTTCCTGAGTAAATTATCTTTTACTATCAATCCCCTGTTTAACCATAGGGAGTAGCTTATGTTTGAGCAAGCATTTCTGCATCTATAAATATTGGACATACAGTGTTTGCTAGAAAGAGGCTCTATGAGTCCTTCCAAGAGCTATGCAGAATAGCATGCCTTGATTCCTGCAGTCTAAATCTGCGCTCTTCACTTTAAGTGAAGTCATCTCATTCTCCTCCGTCTCTCCACATCAGCTCCTTCTCTATTAATCTCCACATTTAAGATATTCAGAGGCTTCTGAGCTGTAGAAGCTTGGCCCCAGTGAAATCTCCTAGATGACTTTTACAACAGATAAGTGTGGTCCTAAGCAGGTCTTCGTTTCCAAAACCAAGACTCACCATGCTCTGATCACCCGCTAACTGGCTAATGCATTTAGTAGCTGCCTAAAAACACCACCACAGAGCATGTGTACAAACTCCACAGTACATCCAGGAGTGTTTGCCACAGGCTGTCTTTTAGGAACAGTCTGAGGAGCCATCAGAAACAGCTTGTATTTGCTGCTGTAAAATGCATAATGCCTGAGTCTCTACCTGCTAAAAGTCTCTTGGTAAATATAAACAACTGGAATGAAATCCCACTGGACAAGGAGCAGATGGCATTCTGCAGCTCAGACACATCTTGCTCCATCCCTGCAGAGCAGCTCCCTTGGGAGTGAGTGCTTGGATACTAATGTAAGCAAGAAACAGCTAAAACCCTTGCAGGGAAAGTTAACAGGTCCACCAAGTTTTGAACCAGGCTGCTTTATAAAGTCAAAGCCTGCAATGATTTCTGACATTGTAATTAAAAACCACCCCACCAAAAATACTGTAGTGATGAGCCCTATTCCCCCCGGAGAACCACAGCGGCTCCCCAGAGGGGGCTGGAGATGAGCAACCACATTTCACATGATGGCTTTTAACATAATTATTTGCATAACTGGATGAAAGAAGCGCATCAATGTGCCTCTAAATCTTATCATTGTTTATTACTCTGGCTATCAGAGGAAACAGTAATTACACTGAGCAGAGATTCTTGGGGCTCGATTTGGAGGTGGAGCTGAGCAAATGTGTCTCAGTCCCTGCCAGCCTGTGGGCTCCCCACTCCCTCTGCTTAGGGCTGGATCACTTGTGTGCACCATGCAGGGAAAGCCTGGAAAAATGGCCTTGCAGGATCACTGGGGTGGGCCAGGAGGGCTGCTGAGGAGAGGGAAGGAGCTTCAGGAGCCCCCAGCTGGGGAATGCAGGTCATTTCGGTGTGCATCTGCCAAACCTAGTTCTGAGAACTAGGGGCAGGATTTGAGCTTTCTGCTGCAAATACAAGTCCTGTCAGATTCAAGACATGTACAGCTTAAACTAGCACTTAAACGAGGGTGCCTGCTGTGCTGGGCAATCTGAGGACCTGCTTGAGATGGCAGCACTGCTGGTAGCAAGGAGCTGCTGGTAGCAGGATGTTCCCAGTGCGTCCATCACTGTGGGAACAATATATGAACTGAACAGCCCTTCATTTCCATCTCAAGGAGAAAAGGAAAGAAATAGAGTTAAATCCCCCTTGTTTGCTTTGTGCAGCTCTCTGCAGCAGCCATCTGCAGTCACTAACATTCAAGAGAACATTAATAAGACAAACTGCAGTGCTGGCAAATGTGGGTAAAAACATGATGTGTAAGAAGGAAATGATCCCAGGCCTGCTGTGGTAACAGGAGTCTTCCCAGTTGTTCTGCTGGGCTTTGCATCACTCTGTATTACAGTGCTGTCTGTATTTGGTGCGTGAGGTTGTAAACATTATGGGTCACCTCAATGGTAATTAACCTTTACAAACTGACAAAACAACAGCTTAAAGTAACATAATTCCATAGAAGAAAAATTGCTGAATATCGGGAGTTTATTATTTAAAGCTGCTTTTTGCAGTGTTGTTTCAGTGCTTTTTTGGTGTTCTACTCTGCTGCCTTCAAAAGAGTCCTGAAACAAAAGCTGAAAAGCTCATAAAATTTGCTAGGTTTGTTTGAAAGGGGTTTTTTTTTCCAAAATCACCATTTATTGCAGTAACTTCCTATATTGAGCTTGAAGGAAAAACAATTTCCTAAAATTCAGCAAAAGCGAAACATGCCTTAATAGGTCATTCAAATCTTTAAATCAAAGTAAGCAATGCAGATAAATACACTTAATCACAGAGTGAACGTAAGTAATGCCCACTTTGAAAGGACCTCCTTGACTCAGTGTCTCTGTAATCAGTTTCCAATATCTAGTTCCTCATTACTAGCAGCAGAACAGCTTGAAATCCCAAGGAATTTTGTGGAAAGGGATTTCAGATGTTTTCCCAACACTTTTCCCAGTGTGTTCATATGCAATCTGTGTATTTTTTAACCCAATTAAGCTTACTGAATGCTGATCAGCAAACTGATATCACCATTTCACAGCAGGAGAAACCATCCTCTCTTTCCTCTCCCCTCTTTTCTGTTCACATTGCCTCACAGTACATAAGTTTGGCTATGTACAGTTGTGGTCAGAGACGCCCTTGCAGATCATGGCCAAAACTGCCCTTGGGTTGTGCTGCTTCCTGTGCTGATCTCAGCTCAGTTCCTCATGCCATCCCAGATTCTGGCCAAACAGGCTGGAAAAAACCTCTTCAGCAATAATGTCTGCTTTCTGTTTCAGAACTTTGTCCCATATACTTATCTCATATTTTCAGTTTTGAAAGGAAGAAACTAGAAACCATTAGGTTGATTATAGCTTTTAACTCCCTCATCTGACTGAAAGCCGAATGTCAAAGGAAATTGTTTCTTCCCAAAAGATTCCTTCAAAAGAGAGCACTTCCCACTCCGCTCCAGTTGACTGGTCTTTCTTTGACTAATCACATAATGCTGGTACACGGCTCAATGTCAACAGCCTGTCCTATCTCTAAACAGACACTTTCAGAAGGGCTCCTGAAGACAGTATCAAAGTCTCTGTCTGTCTCTGTAGATCAAAGTTGATGGCAGCATTGCCACACATCAAAATCAGCCCCCTAAGGAAGGAGTGGAAAGCACAGAATCATAGAATAGTTAGGGTTGGAAAGGACCTTAAGATCATGCAGTTCCAACCCCCCTGCCAATGGGCAGGGACACCTCACACTAAACCATGTCACCCAAGGCTCTGTCCAGCTTGGCATCTCAGCACTGACAAGGCTACAGTGGCATCCACTCCTCTGGCTAGGAATGAAGCTGACTTGCAGTAGGGACAGCAAATTAGGGTTGCACAAGGCAATGGCAAAACCACACTTCAATGTCAGTGGTTAAATGTCTTAATGTCCCCTTATCTGGCTGATTTTCCATCACACATTATGTTTCCACTAGGTCCATCCTTGATGACAGCATCAGCAAATCCACCAAACCAGCTGTTGCATAGTCACACCTCACAGAAATAACATCACTCTGGGTTTATTTCCCCTGTCATAATACTGCATCTCACCTTGCTACATGCTCTGCTGCAGGTTCATGCGACACAGGAGGTTTGGGATTGCATGATGATGCTGGGTTCAAAAAGCATAATGAACAGATTCCTGCCCAATGCCGTTGGCCATAATGGGCAGGCAAGCAGCCCTGCCGCAAAAGCTGCTACCCCATCCACTCAGCCAGCAGCAAGGAGGAAATAGCATTGAGGGACGAGACCATGCAGAGTGGTCACAGCACATCCCAGCAAGGGCCACAGGAATGTAAATGAGCCAGTTGTCTTGCACAGAGGCACTCGGAGGCTGTGCAAATGAGCTTGTGCTGTCATCCTGCACACCCTCAGCAGTGGGGAGAGCACTGCACACTGGTGCTGCCAGCACAACTCAGCTGGCAGAGCAAGGCTCAGAGCAACTCCTACCAACCTGGGTCTGGGCTCTTCCACTAAACCATTATCACCCAAGGCTCTGTCCAACCTGGCCTTGAACACTGCCAGGGATGGAGCATCCACAGCTTCCTTGGGCAACCCATTCCAGTGCCTCACCATCCTCACAGTGAAGAATTTCTCCCTTATATCTAACCTAAATATCCGCTATTTAATTTTGAAGGGGATATTTTACAGGAAGGATCCCTGTAGCTTAAGTAAGAGTATCTTATAGTGCTTAATATCTCCTTGGCCTCTAACTCCAGTCAAAGTTAAGGCATTTTTGGGACGTAACATCTGCCTCTCCTCCAGTAGGAATGGAGGTACTGGGGAAGCTACACGTGGGACTTGTGTTGTTCTTATTGAGCCCTGAGGACAAATGTGAGGAATGAGGACTAATTAGAAATGGAAAAGACTTACAGTGTTGGAATGCACTCCCACCAGCTCTCTTTTACAGCACCACACTGGCCATAATGCAGTTTGTTGTGGGTCCAATCTTCTTCTTCTTCCAGGCAAACATTTTCTTCAGCTCCCCCCTAAAGCTGTCATGGAGCCAGGCATAGAGGAAGGCATTGGTACAAGCAGACATCATTGCAAACCAGTGGCACAGCAGCTGGATGAAGTTGAAATATTGCTTGTCAATCAAGCTGATGTCGATGTCCTTTATCATGTTGAAGATGTGCAGAGGCAGCCAACAGACTCCAAAGGCTGCCACCACTAAGACTAGTAAGCGAAAAGTCTTTCTCCTCCTTGCTCTATCCCATTCAGCTTGGCCCTGGGTGACATTGCCAGGGACTACACGGTTCTTGAGCTTGACAGAGATTCTCAGGTAGGACAGGGAGATGACAGCCAAAGGCAGTACATATGTGATGATGAGAGTGCTGTAGGCGTAAGCTAAGCGATCTCTTTTCATGTGGAACCAAAACTCCTCACAGATAGAGAAGTCCAGTTCTGGGAACTCTGCGTGATAAGTGTGGACCAAGGCTGGGGCAGCCAAGGTACAGCTCAGCAACCAAATAGCAGCCAGGATATAAGCACAAATAGGGATTGTGAGCCTCCTGCGGAATGGATACACCATGGCATAATACCTATCCACAGCTATGACAGTCAAGGTAAAGACAGACACAAACACAGTGACGGGTTGCATCAGGAAAACAAAGTAGCACATGAAACGCCCATACACCCATCCTCTGGGCTCAAAGGCATAGGCGAGCGTCAGGGGCACGCAGGTGGCACACATGAGCATGTCTGAGAAAGCCAGGTTGCCTACCAGAAAGTTGGTGACATTGTGCATCTTTTTTGTCTTGCAGATAACATAAATGAGAAGGTAGTTCCCAATGACACCAATAAAAACCACTAGCGAGTAGCAGGGGATGATGAGTGGCTTGAAGGACTGAACAAACTGGAGCCCTGAGAATAAATTGCTGGTGTTGCTGTGAATCGCAGAGAGGAAGCTTTGGGAGGTTAAATTGTCCGAATTCATCATTTCCCTCCTTTTGTCTTCTGCCGTCAGCCGAGTGAAGTAGTTAGTGCACTACTCCTGCACTCAATCACTGTGGATAACGAATGGATTACTGGCTGTCCAGAGGTTACCACATGGATAGTAAACAAGCATCCGTAAAAAGAAAAGGCGAAGTTGTAATCCTCAAGAGGCAGCTTTCAGCAGTTCCTAAGGAAAATCAAATACAACCCATTTCCACTAAAGTCCTCCTGTATTTACTATTAAATCTGGGTTTTGACAGCATGCCACTTAATAAACATGTAATTCAGTCAGTACTTACTGCTGTGGTTTTTTAATCCCATATGATTCTCCTGTGGATGCCAAGAATGTGCCCTAGACGTCTATCTTCTGCAAATCCAGAAGCGTGTGTGTGTGTCAGGGAGAGAGAGAATATATGTGAGTGAGAAAGAGGGTGATGCGCATTTACAAGCTAAGTGGAGATCAGTGTTTTTAAACAGTCTTCACTTCTAGGTCATGACAGTTTTGTGTATAAGCTTTTATCCCTATTGGCTGCCCTGGGTATTACGTTGCTCTTTGCGTGTTTCTCACTAGTAATTAGTTCTAGAATATCCTTTCAAATATTCCCTTCTTCCAGTGCACCTATAATTGCCCCTCACAACTTAAAAATCAATTTACATTCATTAAGACGAGCTTGCACAGCATCTAATCCAAGATTTACTTTGCCACAGCTCTCAGAGTGCCCAGAAAAGCCTACCTGTGAATTTGTTGCTATAATGGACTGTAAAACAGAATTTTAATAACATATGAAGCCAAATAAATGTTTGTGCCACTAGAGGGACTCAGCTACATACCTGTGAATGAAGTTCGGATTCGAAATGTGCATTTAGCATAAAGCACAAAGGATCTTATTTTATTTCAATTTCTTTTCTAATGGTGGTTCAATGTTTGCTCACTCATTGTGACCGTTTTCAGTGGGGTTTACACAGCTTTAAAAGTAAACACATGAAATAATCTCAAAGGAAATAGTAGCACCCAAATAGCTTAGCTGTACGGGTTTACCTGCAGTGAACTACAGCAACCTGTGTCTAATATTGCAGCTGCCCACAAATATTTGGGGTGTTTCTTCATTCCTGCAGTAGGTTTGTTAACCTTTTCTGTACCAGACAACAAGTGATAACCAGTACATAGAACACACTGTCCTTGTTCTGTTCGGTCAAACATTAGAAAGGAAAAATCAGGATAAGTACTTACAGAATGTAAGCAGACGTCCCCATCCAGCTCTTGCCTATTTCTCTAATTCTCCCTTAATTCTCTTCCATTCCAACCAATTCTGAAACTATCACCTCAGCTGGTGAAAAATAATGAAGCTGCACTGCATCCATTTACATCAGTTAGGGAAACTAAAAAATACATGGAACAGCCTAACCACTTCTGGATACTTCAGGTCAGAGAACATTGCTGGGGTTTGCAAAGCACTCAGGGGATTTAGACACAATTTCAATGGACAGTTCATGTCCAAATCTTTTAGGCTACTCTAAGGGAATAGTAACCCACTATTTTCCATGAAGCTATCAGCAGAACCATATCCTTCTTCTGTTTTCATGTAATTTGACATAAATCACAAGTTTAAATATATTTAATTTGTGTTGTAACCCTTTCCCTAATCCAAAATCAGAAGCTAATCTTGTGTAGCCCATGTTCAGATCAGAGCCATTCTCCTACAATGGCTCATGATGGATCAGCATTTCAAACATCCTCAGGGCTGACTCCGTGTCATTGCATATATGGTTAGACTATGGTACAGGCTGGAATACAGCTATAATTCCAGCCTGAGGGGAGAACAACAGTTCCTCAGAGTGCCTTCCTCCACTTCATGGATGCAGTAACCTAGCTATGACCTATACAAAAAATGGGATGTTATATTCCACGTCAAAATCCAATCTCATCTGTCTAAGCTGGATGGGACCCAGAGGAATATAGTACCTACTTATCTCTACGTGCCCAAATCCAGAATAGGAGAGGGACCTGAAGGTAGAGGTTGCAAAGAGACAAGGAAAAGGGGGATTCCTACTGCTTTCAACACCCAGGGCACCCATACTATTTGGTGTTAAGCAGCATGCTACAAAAGTAATTCCTAGAACCCACAAATGCAATTGTTTAACTTAATATGGGAGAAAAATATAGTCTTTATTTAAATCTGATTTGAATCCTACTGAAGTCAGATTTCAGTAGGCTTTGGATGTGGTCTCTACCGTAAGCCAAAAAGCATCAAAAAATTAAAGGGGTGCATATGTAAATGGACTTCATATTGCCCACATCTCACTGGAAGAAGCCTCATGGTAATGGCAGAGCACAGATAATAGTTGAAAATCACATTTTAACTGAGTGATTTTTCTGGTTCATTCCCAAGAGCTGCAGAGTAGATCCAATAAATATTGTCATTATATTTCTATGAGAAAAAGGTTTATCCTTCACTATGTGAGAATAAAAATAAAACAAAATATCATCTAAAGTAGCCTTCAAGGTCACCTTAATGCTCGGTTCACAAAAACTGTAAGTAACCTTAAAGATTCTTTTATTTCAAGCAGTACTGAGTGATCTTCCTGCATTTTCTCTTACTTTCAGCTGTATTTTCTTCACCTCTGAAACCAGTAACCAGTACCCTTCTGTTTGAAGGCTCTCACCCTATTTCTGTCAGTGGTTTTCTGTTTGTTTTGGCTTCAGGCGGAAAACTTCCTCAGTTCAACTGTACTCTACTGCAGAGACCTGGAAAGATAATATGTAATAAGGGCTTGAATAGAAAGAGTCTTTCAGCATTTTACCCCAAAGAAACCCTCTTTCCGCCTTCTAAAACTGTGAATAGTAATCTTGTTTAGAATTTCCTAGGCTGAGTGACAAAGTCCTTCCTGAACCGAGTGTATTTCACACACAGAATTTTTTCATTAAAAGAGAAAAGGTCACAGAAATTTCCTTACTGTCATATTAGAACTGTTTTGACATTCCAGTGTTTAAGGGTGTCACAAATAAGAATGCTGATTAGTGTCTAATTGAAACCCTGGTGATCCTTGACTCAATGGAGAATGTTATAGTTAGAGCCAGACCAACACTTCTTCACAGAAACATTTCACAGTTGAGCTTTCATGATCTCTTGTGCTAATCTGTCCAACTCTGTACAGACACTGTGAGCACAAACACTGCAAGCTGCTATGTGACTTTCAGGTAGTGGTAAACCTCCTAAAGCACTAACACCCTTCCTTACATGCACGTCTAATCATCCCTGTAGTTCCTAACTAAACCAGCATGATCCAGGAATGAGATCTGATCCTAGCAGCCACACTTGCAAAGCACAACAGTCCTTCTTAAGCTAGTGGGCCCTCCCTTCTAGTATTTAGTCTTTGCAGACCAAATATTTTCTTCTGTCATTGAAGTCTCACAGTCTCGGATGTTAGTTTTCTCTGTTCTTGTTTATTTGATATGCACCTGCTGTAAAACACAACTTCTTTGGCATCACACAACTTCAAAGTGTCTTTCACATTCCTCCAGGAAAGTTCAGAGCAGAGCACGTGAGGTAGTTCTTGCAGAGCCTACAATAAAAATAAATGCTTTGCCTGTTTTGAATGAAGTAGAGCTGGGGGTTCCTTTAGCAAATTCTTCTTTTGACCAGTCAGGGAACAAGGCTGTGTATCACAATTCTAAGGCAGAGCAACCTGTCTCTCCTTCTCTCATTCAGTCATATAAATGCAACCTCTCTGCCACTGCTGTGGACTGAAACATCACAGTCTCCAAACTCTAAAAAACATGTTTACAGCTAAGGGTTTTGTTTGTTTGTCTGAGAGTTTGGGGTTGTGGTTGCTGCTTTTCTCAAATTCAAAGTACCAAATTCTGATAAACTAAAGATTCAGCTGATTCATATAAGCTGAAGAGCAGTTCAACAACTTGAATGAAGAGGATGTTTGAACTTAAGTCAAAGTATCGTTCAGGTTGCAGGTTAAATGTAGAACAGGGGTTTAGCTCTTCCCTGCGTGAGCAAAACTGTTAGTCTGCTGAGCAAAAGTGAGATGAGAAGAGCGAGCTGGTTCCTTAGATGACAAAGATCTTGAGCTAAACTAAAGATAAATGTAAAAAACCAAGGAAAACTGCAAGTGGTTTCCTGGGAATGAAGGTGCTGGGTTACAATTACCACAAGGTAAAAGCCAAATGTAAAAATGAATAAGCTTATACTGTTAGGAGCTAGCTAATCTCCACTGCCAAATTCTGCAAGAACTGGCGCATGGAACTGCTGGGTGAGCAGTAAGGGCTTTTCCTCTTGTTATGGCATAGCAACACAACTCTTGTGACTCTTGAAGGAAAGCAAATGGGCCACCTGTCCTTAAGAACAGGAAGGGATGGGATGTGATGAAAAAGTGCTGGTCCTTTAGTCTAACAGCAGTTTTACAGTAGGTTTTAGACCAGATTTAAGGACAGAGGATGGAAAGAAGGAGAGAGGGAGAGAATAGGATACCAAAGGAAGCTTTTATAAAATTAACCTTCCATCTATGTGTTATTAAACTGATTTTTCTTAACATAGAACGTGTAGTAGTTCTTGTCAGTTTGGGTTTGGGTAACACATGTGATGTTGAGAAATATGAGAAACCATCATCTATACCAGAGCAAACATCCTAAGAACTATGGTGTAGGCAAAGAATAGCAACATTTATGAAGGAATCGGACCAGGAGACTCCAACTATTCATGCTCCTCAAGAACCTTGCTTGGGATTGAACAGCCTTGGTAGCTCTTTTCATTGTATTATATTAGCATAAAAAGCAGGACCATACCAACTGAATTTCATAGAACCACCAACTTTGGAACCAGAGATGATATAGAGGATGACTGCACAATTACACAGAGAAACTCTGAAAATCTGAAGGAGAATAGGAGGAACTTTGATACCATTATAGGGGAAAAACTTTTCATAAAAGACAAGATCAAGGTCACCTGTTAATGAGCATTTTCAGTATGGCCTAGGATGGAGTAAATTCTGTTGCATATCTATACAAAGGAGCAGGCAGTGCTTTTGAAAGTACAGGGAAAAGAAAATCTAATACTTTGTGACAGATTCCAGGGTGAATTTGCCTCTACCTTGCTACAATCTCTGGACTATTTTCTTGCTCTAAGTGTCTATTCACCAGAGCAGAATTGCACTGTATTCTTTAAAAACAATGGGGAGGATGGTAAACTCCAGGTAAAGACCGATTTAAGCTACGGAACAATACTAAGGAAAGAACAAATTCACCATGAGCAAATTCAGAATGAAAGTAAAATACTTCTAAGTGAAATGGGAGAGCAAAAACTTGCCCCTTGGAAGTAGTGGCTTTTGGAACAATCACTGTATTACGGTGGATAAAACACTTGCTTTAACAGAAAGCTTGATCCATTTATCACATGCATGTGGTATGGCTTCTTGAATGAGGCTTGGTCTTCAGGAGGTTCCTTTCAGTCCTTCATCAACACAGATTTAGGCTTTGGACTTCACTCTTATTCAAAATAATTCCACTGCCACATTTTCAATAGTATTCCTATTGATAATAATCAAAAGATAGCATTAAAATTCATATACATGTGCACCCACACACATGGGCTCAGCTGAGACTGAGTCCTAAGATGTCTCTACTGCTCTCTGTGGTTCTTCAATGGGAAGATTTGTACACTAATGCCTGTGCAAACCAACTAGAACAGTACTTGAATATTTGCCAGATGAACTTTCACTGTTGCTGATATTGGCACCTGCTCAGAGCAGCTGATCTGAAAAGTAGGGAGAAAGGCAGGGTCAGCAGAAGGACTCTGCGAAAACATTTCAGCTCCAAGACACTGCAGTCAGTACAATCACTGATTCGTCTTTCTCTGTTCTTGTTTTCCCACAAGATTGTTACTCAGAAACTTGATACAAGCAGGTTTCATTCCTCCATACCCCCACCTCCTCAAGATTTGCTTTACTAGCCAAACCCACACAGGAATAAATGACCAAGAAAGAAGCTGTCTTATTTGGTTTCTTTTATGTTAGGTTTTGGTGTACAGTTTTGAGGCTTTTTTTTTGTTTAATTTCTAATCACAGGATAAGTAGGTTAAGTGCTATGGTAATTCCAGAGGTATTTGTGCTGAATTTGTTGATTGAGCATGTTAAAGCAGAATTTTGCTGAAAAATAGGGACTTGGTAACCAAGTCTGACTATCTCCCAGTTGCCTGGACAGATATCAGTAGACTTCAAGATTTGTATTACAGACCCTTCTGTAAAACCACCGCTGAAGCAAAGTGTTATGCTGTTACAATAAGAGACAGCTGCTCTCTTTAGAGCTGCCATAGGCAGGATATGCAACACCAGAAAAAAAAAAAAGTGGGGAAAAATCTTTAGGAATACCAGTCCAAGAAGTTTCCCTCTTCAGCATCCTAAAGTGTGCTTTTTTTATGTATATGTCTAAGTCGTAACTAACCTGGGAAAAGATATGTGAATGTCTTTGATCTAAAAGCTGAAAGGTTTCTCTTACAAGGAAGGATTAAAATGAAAACGTATGAAGGCAGATTTTCATATCCAGTAGATGCAACAATTCCTACCCCTCCAGAAAAACTGGCATTTCTCTGCTCACAAGCCCTGAAGCGATGTAGAGTGCAAAACCAATCCATGCCCCAAGCTAGAAGAGACTGTGGGAATAAGCTTCTAGAAACATCTGCAGATTGAATGTTGTGAGCCCTGAAGACACTTAGTGTTAGAAATGTTGCTTGCAGGTGTAAATAGCCAGAAGCCTGGGTCACTATATACCCTCAGGGTCCATCAAGCAGTTTAGCTCTCATAGAACCTCACGGCTGACACTTGAGTGCTTGCAG